CGCTGCGCCCAACGGCAGCGCAAAGTGGAGCGTCCCCGAGCCCAAGGCGCAGCCGCCCAAAGTCGGACCTCTGATCGAGGGCTTTGGCGATTCTTTCGCGCCGGCTGCAACCGTGTCGAGCCCGCCGAACCTGCCCAAGCGGCCGACGCCGCCGAGCGTGTCACCCGAAGGCAGTGGCAATGCGACGGGCAGTGGCAATGCGACGGGCGAACGCGCGATCGACAAGAACCTGCTTCGCGCTGCGTCCGATGCGCCTTCACCCGCGCCTTCGCCGCTGCGCCACAGTCCTGCGCTGCCGGGCTTCAGCGTGGCGCCAAGCCCCGCTGCCTCGCCGCTGCCACCGTCCAAAGCGAGCCCGATGGATGGTGCGGCGTCAAAGGCATCGCCGCGCGACGAGCTCACCGACCGCTTCCCGAGCCTTGCTGATCTCGACGCTCGCTTTGCATCGCCCAGCAGCGGCGCTCCTGCCGATACGGCCAGCACTGCACCTCGCGTCAGCGTTCCCGGGCTTGCGAATCGTGCCAGTGTCGGGGCGATGGCGGGCCGATTCGAGAAGCCGTTTGAGCCGCAGCGTCCCGGCTCCGGGCGTGCACCGCTGAGCAAATCCGCCACCATCTCGGCGTTTTCGTCAGGCGACGCGACCAAGGCGCGCTCGGGGAGCGTGTCGAAGCGGTGGCAGCCGTCGGTGCTTGCGCACGACCAGCTGTCCAAGAAGCCCGATCTGCCGTCGAGCGCACCGGTGCTGCGCAAGACGCCCGCCTCGAGGGACTGGCTCACTGGCGATGCGTCCGACGACGACGAAAAGCGCACGCCGCCCGAAGCCAAGCCAAAGATCATCGCCACGCCGCTGCGCGCGCCCGAACAGCGGGGCGATGTGGACGGGCAGGAGATCGAGCACGACGAGCAGTCGTCTGACGACGACGTCGCAGAGCCGGAGGAGGCGAGTGCCCAGCGACCCGAGCTTCCACCTCGACTCGGTGCGGACCGACCATCTTCCTTGACTGCATCCGCACCATCCGCATCGGACACAGCTGCACCTGCCAAGCCCGAGCGGCCGCGCATCGTACCTGGGCGCGTCAAGGCGCCATCGTGGCTGGTGGACGCCGTGGACTCGCCGACTGCAGCCGAGCGCTTGATCTCGCCGTCGAGCGCACACGCAGGTCCGCTGTCGCCCGGCGGCGACATTACCGACGCGAGTGCAGCCGAGCAGCTCGATGCGGCTGCGCTCAGCGCGCAGCACCAGCTGGAAGAGCTGCTGCGTGGTCCCTCGGACGCTGCCACCCCTCCCGCTGCCACCCCTCCCGTCGCCGCTGCCGCCGCCGCCGCCGACGACGACGAAGAGGCGAGCCCAGTAATACCACCTGCCAAAGTCAAGGCGCCTGCATGGGACGACGACGACGACGACGAGATGCACAAGCTCGCGCAGCCCATGCGTGCCGGTCCCGAAAAGCTGGTGGATGTGGCCACGTCGCCCATCGACGATGTTGCGCCGCGCATGGCGTCGCTCGATGTGGCCGACGCGGCTCCGCCCCCGAGACCGGCGAGCATTGTGGCGCAGCGCTCGCATCAGTTTACCGCCCCGTCGGTGGAGCCTCGACGGCCGACACCCATCCGGCCCAAAAAGGGCGAGGGGCTGGCGAGGTGGTCCGCGTCGAGCAACAAAGCTGGCGGCGTCAAGGTCGGAGTCGATGGAGCGGGTGCCGACGCCAAGCTGGGTGGCGTCGGAAGCAGCCGCGATTCGGGCACCCACCGCGCCTTCTCGCGCGACTCGGGCGTTGGCGGTGGGATGAAGCCGTGGGAGCGCGAAGCAGCACTCTCTGCGGCGGCACTGCACTCTTCCGTGGTGAAAAACACGGCGCTGCCACCGGCGTCCACTTCGCTTCACACTGCCACCTCGTCGTCGGGCGACGATGGTGAGACGGACCGCTTCAGTGGTGTTTCGAGCCTCATCTCGCGCTGGCAGCACAATGTGGAATCCAACGCGCCCGGATGGGGCCACGTCGGCAACCCCCGTCGCTAGAATCCCCTCTACCACGCAATGCCAACTTTTTTTTTGCATCCACAAGCCATCGAGCAACCAAGCGAGCCGTGTCCACACTCCTGCTTGGACCGCGTGCCCTTTCCACCGTTAGCCTTTGACGCTTGACACCTCTTTGCCCCTTTGCTCTTTCGGATCGAGCGCTGCACTACCCTAATCACCAAAACGCCTCAACGGCTTGCTTGGCGACCGAGCGTTTTAGGACAGATGTAAGCGATCGCACCCACAGGCCATCGTTTTCTTCGCACCAACAAGACTGAAATTTGGAAAAGAGACAGGCACACTTGAACAAGAAAAGAAAAAGGGGGGAAGAGGGTTGAGTGGCGAGAGAGAGAGAGAGGGGGG